CTCTCAGTTGCATACATCACATAAATAATGATAATGATATTATAATAATAATATAATAAAAGAAATAAAATAAAATAATATTTACAAATAAATACACTAAAAATAAAAGAATTAAGCAACTTATCTGAGATTAGTCGAATATCCACGAGGAAATAATCCACGAAACTTTGCTTTATAATCTTTATTGATATAGTAATAAAATTATAATACAAACAACTTAAATAGAATAATATTGACAAATAGATGCACTAGATAAAATCGGATTAATCAACTTATCTGAAATTAGTCAAATATCCAAGAGAAATTAATCCGCGAAACTTTGTTATTTATTCTATAAAATGTGTCTCGTTTGTTTTGTTTGTTTTCTTAAAATGCATCCGATAATCGTTGGGGACGTAACGATCAGAGTTTGCGTCACCGCTTTAAAATGTAAACAAAAATTTATGCAAAAAAAACTAAAAAAAATGTCGCTAAACATGCCAAGTTTGAAAACATATTTGATAACATAGCTAGAGGTACAGAAAATAATTTTTTGATTTTCTTATTCATATAAGGTTGAAGTATTACTAAATCCACAGACTTTTCAAAAATGTTATGTTTTTTATTCAAAACGAATAAAAACAAAAATATAAATGCATTAAAAACTAACTTTCTATATAAAAACTTGCAAAGTCTGTGGAAATCTAGATAGAACAGACATTCATTAATAACTGGTCTAAATTTCAACCATCGACCATGTAGCTATGTTATCAAATCTTAGTTGGCCTAAGACAGGTTTTGCGTAAAAATCGCAAAAATCAGAAAAGTGATGCCAAATTATTAACAATATTTTTACAGCTTTCATTTTTATTCCGTTTAATGTAAATGTTTATTTAACAAGGAAAGATAGATCTTTTATATTTTTTTTATTTGAAGATGAAAGCATTTATAGAAAAAAAATACTATTATTTTAAAGTTAATGAATTTTTATACTTTTTATGCGGAAATACTTTTTTTTTTGATAAACTCGTGACGTCAGGCTCGCTTTTATATTGAATGAAACAGCCGTGAACACTCATGAAAATCTTAAGATTCGTAAGTAAAGCTTTAATATTTGTTTTAATTTAAAAACAAAAGAAATATAAGCAAGATATATAAATCTAAAAATTATTAAGATATTGGTAAAAAAAAAGTTCCTCTTATGAAATAAAAAGCTTTTATTATTTTTGATTTTTACAAAAATTTGTTGTAAAAGTTGTTTTGCTGTATGTTAAATTTTTTTTTTTTAATTATAATAGAAGAACGCAGCTTTGTTTAATTTTTTTTTGTTAAAAATCTACCGTGACGTCAAATGCTAAAACATTTATGAATTAAATGCGCTTCAAAGGAATCAACAAAGTCTGTAGATTGCGACTTATAATTTAAAGACTCTAAGTTATTGAAAAAAATGGAGAAGGCGAGCTTCGGCTAAAACAACAACATTAGTTTTTCTCGGTATGCATTCATTATTTATTTTTAATCAAAAAAACTTGGTTCAAACCTTTTTTTTTTTTAAACAATTTAATATGAACACAACATGTGTTGGGAGTTTGGGATCTCTTTAAATCTTGTTGTAACCCTAACCCTAAGCCTGACCTTGATGCCTAGCCTAACCAAACCCTCAGTCGATGTAGCAGCATTCCCTTGCGATTCAGGTTATTTGATAGTCGTTGTATATACTTTTCGTTCTCTATAAAAATTTCATATGGACACATTTTTTTACAAAAAAAATAATACTTACAAGGACAAAAAATTAACGGGTACACTAAAATGTCCCCAATAATGCTAATGTCCCTGTAAGTGTTCATTTTTTGTAAAATCTGTTCTCGTAAGTGATAAAATATAAATATATATATACAGTGGGCAAAATAACTGTCCGTACATTAATGAAAAGTATCTACATTTGATCAAAACAACATTTAAAAGTATTTAGATAGTTGTAATTAAGAGTTTTTAAAGAAATATTATAATATTAAAGTAATTTTAAGTGTATTAGTTAAAAATATATTAATATATGAAAAGTTATATAAGTTTATTTAAAAAGAGTTCAAAGTTTAAACAAAAAAGTTGTCTGTACACTATGTTAATTTTTAAATTAAAATTAGTTAAAATTAAATTAATATCTTGTTGGACCACCATCAGCTTCAATAACTGCTCTACAACAATTTATCATTGATGAGGCAAGTTTAGGCGTAATTTCTTGATTAATTGATGACCAAACATCTAAAACCAATTCTTTGAGCTCGTTTTTATTCTTTGGAGCTCGATCTTTCATTCTTTTTTCCACCACCGACCATAAATGTTCTTTAGGGTTCAAATCGGGCGATTGTGCAACCCAATCCAACACGTTAATGCCATTTGCAGCAAGATATCTGGTTACAGATCCAGCTTTGTGCTTTGGATCGTTGTCATGTTGGAATATAAATTCCGTTCGAAGTCCTAATTTTCCTGCCTAAGCCACCAAATTCCATTCTAATATGGA